CATATGAATAAATTATTTTAAAGAATGCTTATCTTGATTTAGATGATATTATAGATAAATTTTAATAATTCTATTTTCCATATTAAGAATTATTATCTAATGATCCATATTATTTGACTTTGATTAATAATGAAATGAATCGTTAAGAAAAATAGATAAATTAAATTTTAGATACATTAAATATTAGAAATGAAATTTCTCTTAATGATTTTTATAAATTTAAGGAATATTTAAAATAAATTAATAAGGAAACTTTATAAAATTATATGTAAATTTGGAAAATAGTCTTAAATTAATAATCATCTGTAATAGATTCTACAATTGAAAAATAAGAATTATAAGTTGAATTAGATGAAATTAAATCTATTTTTACTAATAATATGTTAATCATTAAATAATTTTAAAATAAATATGAAGAAGATAAAAAAATCTCAGAATTTTATTAATAATCTTTAATACGAATTATTCGATATGCTCCTTAATTTATAATTAATCAAATTTAATAGTAAGCTAATCTATACAAAGTATTAGATGGAGTTGAATTTAAAGAAATGAGAAAGAAAACTACTTTAGTTGATTCAAGAATTTCAGTTAGTCCATAAAGAGAAGATAGTTCATAATTATATTCTAAGTAGTCTCCAATAAGAGCAAGTTAAGTATCTTTTTAATCTTAATTGTAAATAAATTCAATGAAATAAATTACAACCAATAATAAATCATTGAAGGCTCAGAAATCATTTGAAATTGAAGTAGATATGCCAAAAGGATTGAGAGACATTGATGAAGAATCTTATAAGAGTGAATCAGAAGATGATAATATATAAGAGAAAGAAGATAATGCATTTTTATTATTAAGATTTGATTTTTAGACTTAAAAACCATAGTTGACATTAGAAAAGAAATTAAGAATAAATACATGTCCATTGAAATCAGCATAACATTCAACATCAATTCTTAAACAAAGTATTTTTTGACTAAAAATTCTAGTATTAAAAAAGTTTAATAAAAGCAATATGAATGGTCTATATACAATAGGAACTCTATTGTAACATTACACAGAATTAGTTTAAAGACAATTACCTAATAATACAAATACACCTTTACATGTACATTTGTATGAACACATTACCTTTCGATTTGGTTAGTCATAACTTAGTGATTGCAATAGATATAAGAGAATGATAAAGAGTTTTCTATATTATGAACATAGACATTCAACTTGTAAGATTATTGTACGTTTTCTTAAAGCTGATTTAGATGTTTAAGATTTTAATACATATTTGTAAATACTAGAAATATGTAAAGAATATCCTAGTTTAACATTCAATAACTTTATTTAAGCACTTTAAGATTGGCTTAATTAAAATCATTATACAGAAGAAGAAATTGAAATAATTAAAAATGAATTATATTAATCAGATCTTGCTTATTTAAGAAATAATCCATCTCCAACAGAATATGATTTAATAATGGATTAATTCTTAACTATTTTTGCTAAATTCAAAAATAGAACTTCTTATAAATATAAATATTTATTTGAATCTATTGATACTTCAAATAAGGGTAATATTAATTTTCAGTAATGGAATTTTATTTATGAAACTCTTATTTAAGTAAATTATTCATTTAGTCTAAAATTATTCTACTCTGAAGCTGATTATCATGATAATTAAAAATTAATGTCAAAATAAAGATTTACTTTGGTGAGTGATGAATTATAAATATTTTAATAAGATTAATAAGAAAAATTATTAGATCATCAAAGTTTAGAAGATATTTTATTAGAATTAAAAGAGAAATGGTCTAACAATAAAATTTAAATGAAAATTTGTTTCATTAAATCTAATAGAGTATTATATCAATTTAATATATATATTAGTATGATTAATTTATTAAATCCTTGTTTCAATATGTAGATAGGTGTTTACTCAATAAACAAAATGGGGAATCTTGTTGTTATACTTATAAATTACTTTAGAAAACTTATAAAGTTTATTATCTAGATCAATAAGTCTAGAGTATGTTATATTCTCCACTCTAAGCAATTAATCTGAAATTTAGATAAATTGAAGAAAAGATCTTAAGTTTCTGAAGTATATTTTATTAAATCTACAAATTTTATAAGTATTTTTATAGATATATTAAATTTAATTAATAAATTTTAAATTATTATATTATTTAAGCAAAGATTTATTAAATAAGTTTTTATATATATTCATTTTGTTTTTGTTTATTTTTATCTTTATAATTTCTTCATATTCTAATTATTTTATGAAGTTCTCAAAGGATATTTTTATTTATTCTCTTAAACTACATAAGGTTAATTCTAATCAATTTTACAATTATTTTAAGAACTTTAATTTATTAAGATTTTTAAATGGTCTTTGTAACAATTTACACTTTAAAATGATGAACTTTTTTCAATTTTACCTTTTGAAATGTTTGTACAACTATTATGTGTAAATTCTTTTGAAATACTCTTTTAATTATTGGATTTCTTATCATATAAATTAGAATTAATTTCTTTGGGTTCAGCCTATAAGTAGAAAGGTTAGGAATCTTCTTCAGGATCTAAAAGTAATTGTTTTGTCAAATAAAGATTACTCTTTTAACTCAAAATTTATGATCTTAATTATGAGAATACATTTACTTATTATTATTAAAATCAATCTCTTTTAAGTGTTAATTTTATAATTTGTGTTAATATTCTTATTAAGATTCATAAATAATTTATGATTAAAAATCATCTAATGATAATAAATCAGTATCTAAGAAATTGTTATTTGCTTTAGGGGATAAATATGATAATTGATATTAAAATAATCCTAAATTCTTTTTTTTAGATTTTGTTTATACTGAAGCATTTGTAGTTGATTTACAAGATTAATTCAATTTAGAATATTTATTAGTATCAATTTGATGAGTTTAAGTAAAATTAGTTTAAATTTCAGTTTCCTTAAATCTTTTAGGTATATTAAGAATAAGTGATCTATCAGTTAAAATTTCACTATATAATTTTGGAATCTATTTTTAGGATTATTAAGTACTACATTTCATTCCTTAAAATTCTTCATCTTCATTTAATTCAATTATAGGTTAAGTTTTAGATTATTTATTATTTGTAGATGAATGATATATATCTAAAATCATTGATTCAAATTTTTCATTTTTTTATTAATTTTTAATTTATTCTTACATTTCATTCTCATTTCTGAATTTTATATTGTTATTTGAATGAGTAGAATTGTATAATCTATATTAATCATTATCTAGATTCTATTATTAATTAATTAATTCACTTTATTTGAGTGCATATTAATTGAAATTAAATTTTGAAGTATTATTTGCATCCCACACAGAAAATTATTATTAATTAGATGAATTTAATTTGGTTGATTTGACTTAAAAACCATCTAATTTATCTGTTTTTGAACTTTCATCTAATTTTTAAGAACAATAATTTGTTTGAGTGTAGTAATGTTATTTATTATAAATATTTCCCCAATTTCCATTGTATTAAGTTGAATTTGATAGTTTATTTGAATCGTTGATTATCCTAGCATCATGAGATAATGGAAGCAGAGATTACCATCCAGCTGATCCTTATACTGAAACAGTATTTTCATTAATCTGATGAAGTTAAAGCAATTTTAAATTCATTTTATTTTTTGGCGTTGAAATGAGTAATTCTTCATTGGGTTATGAAGATTACCTGCTTCTTCCAACACTGACATGGAGTTTACCAGGTTTCTAAATTTACTTTAATTGTTATTTTAATCTGCCTAAGGGATTTGATCTAGTGGTACTCTTAGATCTTACAAATTTCAACTGACTCATAAAATTTTATTTATAAACAAATATTATGTTTTATTTTATAATTAAAATTACATAATTAATTTGATGAAATAATACTATTATGCTATTAGAATTTTTCTATATGATTTATCTCTTTTACTTTAATAAAATATATTATTTACATTATTGATTTCCTATAGTAAAATGTATATTCTAAAAGTTTACAAAAAAAAACTTCTAAAAATTTATTATTAATTAATTAATCAATGTAACATTAAGGTAGGAAGTTAAAAATTTATTATGAGTACTTACCGAACTAGGAGAAACCATTATAAGTAACCAACAAATTTATAGTATAAATAATCTATTTTTAAATAATATTGGATTGTGTACTAATATATCATTGAGCACTTTGAGACATACAGCTCTTTAGATTTCATTTATAAGGCAAATAGATTACATACTCAATCTTAATTTTAATTACTAAACAAATTAGAATTACCATCTTAATTAAGAAAAAGGTTGTAAACATTAAAATTATCATTAACTCAGATATACTCAATAAGGTTTTGGTAATAAAAAAGTGTTTCAATATGAATGGTAAAAGGTGAATGCCAAAGAATTCCCAAGTCCTGATAGATATAAAAAGAGATAAGAGCTTGGTGTAGATCAATTAAAAAGATCATTTGGATTGTCATGGGAAACATACTCAAAGATCTATCTACCTTACAATAAACATTAAGCTCCTGAAGTGGCCGAATTCTAACCAGGCAGTTTTACTGATGAGTAATTAATTTCCTGAAGAATTTAATGTGCATTAAGATCTTGGTCTACATAAATATTAGTTTTAATTAAAGGGAAAGGGAAAATGTTTAATGATCAAAGAGAATATGGTTTTCCTGGACATGAAAATTATTAACCTTAAATTTCATTGATTGTTCCTAATCGATTTTAAGTAAGAAATATATTGAAAATGAATTTTGAAAATCTATTAGGGAATAGGTGAGAAGAAGAATCCATTTTAATCTTTGAGTTTTAATCTTGGACTTAGAAGATATAAATAGAATTCTGGATTTGATAAGGTTTTTAAAAAGAGAGAATTTATAACAAAACCAGGAGAGAGGAGACCATTTATATGAATTGAATAAAAAAATACACTTGAATATATACATGTAATTTATTGATTTACATGAAAAGAAAAGAAATCACTTCATTTTACCTATCTATTCTTTTAATAATTGATTTCTCAATTCATATTCTAATAATTCATCATTCTCGACTGAATTCTTTGATATTGATTTTTTTCTCATAGGTGATGGTTCAATTGGTTTCAAGATGTTCCTTGCAAATTCTAAACCTTTTTATCGAACAGTTACTTGTTTTGGTTAACTTTTGGAAATTTTTTATTTAAAATGTCTATGCTCTGCTTTGACCTTTAGATATGTTAAGGTGATACATGCTCTGCAAATTCAAGCATCCTATCCATTTTTTCTTTTTACTATTACCATTTTTCAATAGATAATGTTGGACCCAGTCCTTGTCCTGGATTTCTTAAGATAGGTTACAATTTCAATAGTTTATATTAACTTAAAGTATAAGGTTTATAATTGAGAATAGAGTTTTTATCATCTTTAATAGAAAAATTTTTGGATTGATTGTGAGATTCTTATTCTTCTTTTTTCCATTATTCAAATATCATCAATTATTCCTCTTAATGTCTTCTAATTAATTCAGACAATTCTCTTTATTAAATGAGATGTAATTCATGTAATTTTCTTTTTTATTCTTCTGATAATTTTTCACTAAATCCATACTAATTCATATTAAATTTGATGATAAAATTATGTTAATTTGTTGTCTTTTTTTATTGTTTGAATATATTATTTATTCCTTTTATATATGATATGAATAGATGATCATATATTTAAATAGGAAAATGATCATTTCAACAAATTTTAGTATATTGAAAATTGATCAAATGAAATATATTTGTAAAAAAAACTTATAAGTAAATATATTTATATGCGAAAGAATACATCTCCCTATAGAAATTAAAAACCAGGATCTTCTTTAGGAAGAGTTCTCTTTAAACCAGAATACTAAACTAGAAATAATTCAAAAGAGAAAAAGACAACAAATATATCTCCCATCAGATTTATTTTAAATTCTAGACATAATTCATTTGAATACAATACAAAATAACCATAAACCTAACAGTCTATACTTCCTTCATTAAACAAAAAGCATTTTCATCTTCAATATGTTATTGGGATTGGTGGTTTTGGAAAAGTTTGGAAAGTCACTTACAAATCATAATATTATGCTATGAAAGAAATGAGTAAAGCCTTAGTCATTTATAAAAGAAGTGTGACTTCAGTTATTAATGAATTACGATTGTTATAAAACCTCAATCATTCATTTATTGTAAATGCAGTTGCAGCATTCTAAGATAAACAGAATATATATTTAGTTTTGGATTATTTATAAGGAGGAGATTTAAGATATCATTTGGGACGAAACAGAAGATTTAATGAAGAATAAACAAGTATTATTTGACCAATATCAGAGTTCATTGTTTCATGTGTTATTGTTGGTTTGGAATATTTACATTCCCATCGTATTATTCATAGGGATCTCAAACCTGAAAACTTAGTCTTAGATTCCAAAGGTTATGTTAGGATTACAGATTTAGGAGTAGCAAGAAGATTAGACACTTTATAAATTGATACAAGTGGAACTCCAGGTTATATGGCACCAGAAGTAATGTGTGGATTAGAACATGGCATACCAGCAGATTATTATTCTTTAGGAGTTATAGCATATGAATTAATGCTTGGGAAAAGACCATATTATGGTTAAAATCGTAAAGAAATAAGGGATGCTATTCTTGCTAAATAGGCTTAAATAAAAGTGAAATTAGAAGGTTGGTCTTTGGATGCTATTGATTTTATCAATAAATTGATTTAACGAAAGCCATCTCATAGATTAACTGATGTAAAAAATCATCCATGGCTTAGAGATTATCCTTGGGATAAATTAATTAATAAAGTCTTACAAGCACCTTATGTACCATTAAATAATGATAATTTCGATGTTTCTCAAATTCATTATGAAGATCAAGAAAATCAATTAATAATCAACCAAACAGGCTTCTTGATATCTCAAAATTTAAATGCTTTTGAAGATTACTATTATGAATAAAATCTAAGAAGAAGATCATCATTAAATAGATCATTTTTTATCAAATGAATAATATTATGTTATTAAATATACAATATATAAACCTATTAAATATTATTCTTAAATATAAAAATAATTATAATTAAATCAACTTATTAACGTTGAATTCTCTATTTATTTAGTTTATCTTCTTCTACTTGAAATTACTGTTGTCTTTTTCTAATTAAGATAAATTCAAATATATACTGATTAAATATTTTCATCAACTGTTGGATTTTAATTTAATTATTCTAATTCTTTCTTTAATTCATTTAGTTTCTCTTCTGTTTAAATATGAATTTTTGTTAAATTTTAATATTTACTTTTCCAAGATTCTAATTCTAATGTAATTGTATAACTGTCTGTCTTCACAAGTGTTTCTTAAATGACCTCTATCTTTTTCTTTAACTCGCTATTTTTATTAATTTTAATATTCCTACTTTATTTTATAATCTCTTTGTTGATTCAGTTTATTCTCTTATTCCCATTTCTGTTTCCATAATAAAGTTGAACTTTATTATTATTCTGGATAATCAATTGATATTTGTAATTAATCAATATGAATTTTTTGTTTTTCTAAATATGTTTTCAATAGATTCGAATGTTTATCAATTAGTTCATTTAATTAGAACATAGTGACTATTTGAGATTGTAATATAGATTCATAATATTGTGATATTTATTCAAATTTTTCACAACACTATTAATCATTGTTATTAATTTAGAGCTTATCATTTTTTAATCGATCTGAAGGTTACCATCTTAGATAACTTGCTTGACCAAAATCTTATACAAATGTATTTTAAAATGTATAAGGTATTTTAGGCTTAAAAGGACATTAAAAATTAGATTATTATGTTAAATCAAGTTAACAAGTCTAATCTGAATAGATGGCTGTATTCATATTTTTAATATTATTTAAGATTCAAAATTCGTAAAGATTTTAAGTTAGGCAGATATTATAATATAAAATAAAAACGGAATTATATATTATAACTTTTTATTCATTGTAAATATATATATTGATATATATATATATATCTTCAAAATTATGATATTTCTTTGTCCATAATCCTAATTCTATCTTAATATAATTTATCATGAACTCAGTCTTTTGTTATTGCTTTTTCACATTATAATTTCATTTTCCAAAACCATTACTAATTGGTATCTAATAAACTTATTTTTCATTAATTTTCTTTAATACCACTCTTCTATTATTTGTATTAATAAAAACATTAATAGCTATTTAAATAATATTAATTTCTATTTCTCTTTAATCATCATAATGTATAATTACATAACCTCCATCTCTCTAATAAGCTTTTTCTTTTATGTATTACATTATATCAATTTATTTCAATAACTCTAATATTTATTATTTCTTATTCTATTTACTTTCAGCATCCTCTAATCCTTTATTCTAAGATTTAATAATTTCTAATGTTACTACATCATAAAGCAATTTAATTCTAAAACTTTATTGATATACTCATTTATGATTAATTATTCAATTATTGTATGTTAATACGAATTACTAAGATCATCCCATTTATTTTTTAACATCAGAACTCTCAAATAGAATCATTCGCAATTAATTTATATATATATATATGTGTAGTATAATGCTCAAATATTTCTGATTGTTAATGTTCCGAATTGATATTATGAAACTTTAGAATTTTGATTTTCTTTCACAATTTCATATGATTCAAGCTAAAATTAAATATAAATATATACTTTAAAAGATCCATTTTTCTATTTTTTATAAGTATCTAGTTCAGCATTGGATAAAATAAGTTATTCTTATTATTTATGATATTCTCTATTTAAATTAATAAATTAGGCCTTCCAAGAATCAACCTCTTAATTAAGTTATGTAATTCTTTCATTATAAATTGTAACATCTTATTAATTGATTAATTTAATTTTTTAATTGTCGCATTCTTCTTAAAATTATTTGATAGTAATTTTATTTTATTCTATTTCTTATAATTTAATTTTTAATAGATTACTCAATCTCTCTATTTCAGTAGAATATACAACATTCTTTTATTCTAATTCTTTTAATTTGTGAGCTTCACTTAATTAAAATTAAGAAAATTGTTATCTAATTTTTTCAATTTCTTCATTCTTATTTCTTAATTATACAGTCAATCTCTCAATTTCAGTACTAAGTAAAGTAAATTTCTACTGATATTCTTTTAATTAAGTTATATCTTATAATTTGAATTTCAAATTTTCTAATTCTTCATTTTTTTATCTTAATTAAGAAGACATTTTATTATATTCATTAGTAAGTCTATCTATTTCTTCAATTTTATGTTAAAGACTTTAATGTAATCTATCTATTTCTTAATTTTGTAATGCAATTTTATTTTCATAATCATCTACTTTATAATGATCATTAAGTGTAATCTATAATTTAGATATACAATTTCTTAATTGATCATTTTCTTATAATTTAATCATTAATGAATTATTAACTCTATCAAATTCTTAAGCTAAATTTTAATATTTAATTTCATAATCTGCATACTTTTGATATTCTTATAATTAATTCTAGTGAATAATAAATTATTATTTATATTTATCTAATTCATCTTATTTCATTCTAATTCTTTAATTAAGATTATTAATTTCTTCATTTTATAATTTAGATCTAATTTCATACTCTTAATATTTAGTAGTATCCTATAAAGTCATTTGAAGTGTTTAAATAATAGATTAAAGTTTAGAAATCTCTTCATTTTTATTAACCATTTCATTCATATATTTATCTTAAAGATTTTGATTATCCCTATATTAATTATCAATATTTTATTTATAATTAATTTCTCTATTTTTTAAATCCTAAATTTCTAATTCAGATTCTCTCAGACGTTTAGATAGTATCTCAATTTCTTTAATATATGTTTATTTAGATTAATCATATTCTTCTGATTTCTGTTTAAGTAGAACTGTAATTCTTTCAAGTTCAGTAGTCAATTATCCTTAAACTTATTATTATTAAATATATTATTATTCATATTTTTTTGTTTCAATTAAGGTTTTTTACATTTATTATAATTATGATTGACTTTAAGAAACAAGTACATTTAATCTTTAAATTTCATTTTACCAATATTGTTCATTCTCTTAAGAATTCTTTTTAATTCTTTCTTATTCAACTTAATGTTATTATAATCCCATAAATTATTAATTTATTTGAGCTAATTTTATTTTTAATTATTCTGATTCATTCGTAGTTTCTCTAAGGAGAATATTTACTCTATTTAATTCAATTTAATATTATTATAGATTAGTTTCTAATTATTAGATTCTATGAGAGTCTTCAATATAAGTGACCTTCTCTTGACAAGTACTTTTGAGTCTTTGGATTTCATTTGTAAGCTCTTGAATTTATTTTTCATATAAGGAACACTTATTTTTATAAAATTCAAGTTCTTCTCTAGATGGCTCCATCACTTTAACTATCTCTTAAACCTTCATATTATATTAAGATTAAGATGGTTTCAACTGTTATGTTTCTAATCTAATAGGTGGTTGAGTTTGTTGTTATTGAATGGTCCTAGTATAATAAACAATATTGGGAGATGTTAATAGATCTCTTGTATTTGATTAAGACCTTTGGGATTTATGAGGATCTTGATTAGGTTCTGGGAATTATTGGGTTTAGTAATAAGATATCTGTTAATCCATGTAGACGTTAATAATTTATTAATAAAATTATAAATTTATATGAATTTTATTCATTAATTTTATTAGGTAATATTGGATCATAATATATTTAATTATGTAAATACTTAATATAAAACATTCCTTTTTATAAGAGTTTAAATTTGTTTATAACTAAGGTTTATTTACATATGATTTAATTATTGAAATCTATATATATATATATTCATAATTATTATGATAATCATTATTAAGGTTTACTTTCTCCCATGTCTCCAGCACTTCTATTGGCTTTGTTTCTTGATTCGTAATATCCAAACTCTGATGGTAATCTATAACTGCCAGGAGCAGGTGTTCCAGCTGATATAAATATTTAAAATGATCACAAATACCTTTGCCAACTGATCCTGTTCTTCTTGATTCTTTTGGAAAACTTCTAACATTTGAAGAATGAAATTTTGAAATAAAATAATGTCCATCCTTTTAAATTCCTGTTTTATCAACTGGATAAGTTCCAGGTCCAGGAGCATATAAATTTGTGGCTATTCTAATAAACTATAATATACTTACAAAAATCTTTAACAAACCTTTTAGAATTTTTAGGATTAAATAAAGTAGCACAAGAGTTATTATATTTAGATATTGGATATTTGCCTACTGGATTTACAGCTGGTAATGATTCGTAAGTTCCTGGTCCTGGGATTTCTTTGCCAGTTAAAACCATAAAATTTGTTTTTGGTCTCTATCTCATTGTATAACGAATATCGCTTAATGTTGAACCTAAATCATAGGTACCAGGAGCTACAATGATATTAGTATATCAAACCTGGAGTTTTTGAATTCAAATTTCCTAGAATTCCTGTGCTTGCCATTTTCTCTCTACTCATTCCAAATTTATTTCCCTTTGCCTTCTTTTGATTGATTTCAACATCACTTGTTATATTGTATTATTATGGAGATGGAGTTGTAAAGGCTACTTTTGTAAAATCAGTTCTTGTATATATATATTTCAATCTCTTTACTTTGTTCCTTTGCCTATTCCAGCCGATCTCTTATCTATTTATGTTGGTAAATCATAGAAAGCCTTCCCGCAACTAATTTTAAATTCTAATTCAATACTTAACAGGATTTGCTAAATTACCAAATCTATCTGATTTTGAAAATGTCCATAAGTTTTTTGCAGTACTATGATTAAGTGGTGAACCACAAATTTGCTAACAAGTTGAAACAGTTATTGACATGATAAATAAATTAATTATTAAAAGAAGAATATATTCATATAATTATTATAATTCTAACTAACTTTATGAATTATCAAATTGTATATATATATATTAAATAAACAGAATTTCTTATTATACATTTTAATTATATAGTTATATATACTTATTATGTAATATAATCTAATATATTTAAAGAATATATATATGATTCATTAAATTTTATTTTATGAATAAATATAAATCACAAATTTTAATGATATCCAATAACTCACAAATCCTAACATCAACCATAATACAAAACATGCCAATATACTTTCTGCAAAATAAAATAAAAATTAAAAAAATCCATGCATATTAACAAAATAATAATAAAAGAAGATAAATCCAAATATATATATAATACATTATCCACCATTAATGAATGATATCCATTACCAATTATAATTACCTTAATTCAATTATTTGTATGTTTGTATAATAGATAAACAACCTACAATAATCAATAATTAAATATAGGAAAAGATCAACAAGGTGTATTACTCAAATTATTTATCACTCCATGTACTTTCCAAAATATAATACAGTTCCATAATGATCGATCTATAACTTAAAATGTTTCTAATTACATAAAAGGTACAATTCCATATAAACATCCACTTGATAGAAACTAATAATTTGAGATTAGAACTTTCTTTTTCAATCTTTTTTCAAATAATTCATCTATTGTTTTTAATCTACCTGAAACACCACCTATTAAAGTTAAAGGTAAATAAACAACTGTTAAAATAAATCCAACAGAAAATACTGCTGTAAATGAGAATGTAGATGTTGTTCCAAATAAATATGAAAATACATCAATAATAAATAAAATTGACATAGCAGATATTGGAAAAAGTGCTGCTGCTATAAATAAATTTAATAGCCAACTCTTGCCTCCAAAAAATTTATAAAATTTTCCTGTATAATATCCATTAATAGCTAGACAAATTAATAATAAATTTAAATACATCCACCAAAACTATATATAATTATTCCAGCTGATTTAATAGATCCTTTATGTGTTTCAAATAAATAAAATGATCCCAATATTAACAATATAAAAATGGTCATTAAAAAATGAATTCCTGTTCCAAGTAATGCAGAAAATACTATACGATTAGTTGGAGGCATTAATGATTCAATTTTAATAGCTTTCCATCCTTATGGTTCAATTTCATTTTCTTCATCTGGTATATTACTATAATCACTTTATATTGATTTCCTCAATAATTAGCTGACAATTATGATTAAAATTAATATTAATATACTTTTGAATATTAATAAATTCCATTTAACACTATGATCATGAATATTCATCATTTCATTATATTATTTAATTTAAATAGTATAATAGAATCCAATTTCTTTATTATCATCTTATGAATTTATAGATATAAAATCATCATCATTTATTGTAATATTAGTATACATCAATCTTTAATCATTTGATACATATAAATTAAATGTGATTCTATTCTTTAGATAATATTATCCATTATAAAATCTGCCCACTATATCATGCATTATAAAATCTGCTAAATAAAATTCAATTATGTATTCTTAATCTATCGCATCTATCCATTTTTTTATTTCACCTTTTGTAAAATTTCTCTCACATACTTATTTATCTTCTAATCTCTCTTTTGTATTAAATTTGTAAACTGAAGTCATCTATTTATCACCAGATAATGATTGTCCTAAAGATTCAATTACTTCTTCAAAATCATTCGGTTTACAATATGGCAACTCATAATATGTATAAGTCTCTGAAGGATTATCTTTAGGTCTTATTGTATTAACATATATCTCAATTGAATTACAGAATGTAATAAGACATAATAAAACAATAATCATTTAACTAATTAATATTTTTTGAGAATTTAGAGTAGTTCAATTTAAAGTATTGGTTTTTGTAGATAATCGCATAACCCAGAATGATCAAATTACATTAAATTATCCTTTGTATCATAAGCTGAACAAATGACAATTGCAGTCTTCTTACAACCCATTGAAATTATCTAATGTATAAAAAGTAAACTTACTTCTTTCGAAGTATCAAATCCATTTATTCCTGGCAATTCTATATCCATAAAAATGATATCATAAAATTAACAAGAAGTTTATAGTTTCTCTTTTACTCTTTAAATTGCTTAATAACCATCATATACTTAATCACATTAAATTGCAAAATGATTTAAATTAGCTTTTAGAGCAATTTGATTAAAAATCTAATCTTCAACTATCAATATCTTTTTACAATTAATACTACATTCATGTAATTATAAAGTTGATATTTTAAACGAAAATGTTTAATTTATTAATAATTATCCTGGACTCTCTATAGATCTAAATTAAAAATAATTAGATTTAGGTATAATTATTCTTTCACTTTAATCATCAATTATATTTGGACTTTCGAATGATTTGAAACCTTCAGATTTTTATACTATTTTTTCTGAATTCTCATATTAATTAGTATTATCTTAATAGCAATATTTCTTAATAATAAAGTTATCTTCTTATTATTAAGATTAACATTTATTTTTAATAATAAAGCCAAAAGTATTGGATTAATTTCTTATTTATTCTTTTTCTAATATTGGATCTTCTATTTTATCTTATATTAATATTTAATTTTATTATTTTTTCTATATTTAATCCTATATTAAAAAATGTATACTACTACCATCTAATGAATTTGTTAATATTTCTATATTATTATTCTCTTAAATTAAACCTGATGCTAATCTTGCTGCTAAATTTAATCCAAATCCTAATTCTTGATGAGTCATTAAATCATTACAGCTTTCATTTTCTTAGTTTTTTAACATTATTTAATTAAATGAGAATTATTTTTTTCTATTCATTTAAATAGATGTGTTTTCTACAGCTACTTAAATTGTAAATTCATCTTTAGCAAGAAAACTTAAATTGATATCTCCACCTTGTATAATATTATTACATTAATGATTAAGAATAATTAATAAAACTTAAATTATTCTTAATTTATCTGAATTCAAATATTTATCATATAAACTTGATGAAACTTTAATTTAAAATTAGATCTTCTTCTAAAATAAATATGGAATAAAAACTTATTCTATTTCATTAATTAAATCATTAATTGAAAATCTATAGAAATAATAAGTAAATTCATTTAATTAATAAGATAAAAAATCTAAAACATTATTCATTTAGTATTATAAAAAAGAAGTTGAACATTAAAGTAATTCTAATTTTTCTGTCATATCTTATTCTTCCTTAATTACATCATTTATAATCCTTAAATATTACTAATTTAAATTTAAAGGAGTTCTTAATTAGAATAATTAATTTTTAAGAAGATTGCAAAATTATTAATTTTTAAGTTCTACCTTTTAAAATTATTATTTATAGGTTATATCTTTTAAGATTAATACTAATACAGGTTGATTTAATTAATCTCCAAATATTTACATATCATTTTATACAATAGAATCTAATTATTAATTAGTCATTTGTGTTTAAATAATCTTAAGTTTTAAAGATTTATTTGATTCTAATTAAAAATTAAAATTATATTAATTTTAACTATTTTATGAAACTGGAGATTCATCAATACTACTTTTTTCTGCATCATAAGTTCCTTAATGAAAAAAATATTAATTCAAATATTTATTTTAATTCAATAGAATATCAAATATATCTACTTAAACCTTATTTTATTATGCTTTTTTTATTATTTCTTCTAATGTATTTTGATTCATTTCAATTTTTTTGTTATTTTGTGGTTATTAATTAATTTAGCAATTATCCATTTTGAATAATTAATTTCTTAAACAATCCTTAAGTTTTGGCAATATTAATTCTTCATTCTTACATTATAATAATTTTATGAATTTTTTATTAATAAAATGTAATTTTTATTATTTATTAAGAATAATTATTCCATTAGGAATTATTTACAAAATTTTGGCTAATGAAAATTTTTATTCTAATTTATCAAAATCAATAGATTCTTTTTATCTAACAATAGAAGATAAATCATTATAAGAGTGAGGTTTATTGGAATAAATACTTGGACTTCTAATTTTAAGTTTTTCTTTGGAATATTCATTAAAATGGCTAAATTCATTTTATTTTCTTTTTGTTAATCTTAATGCATTAATATGTTGATCTGTTTATTCCTCATCATTTAATTATAAAGATAAACGAATTTTTGTAGAATCAAAAGATTTCTCATCTGCTAAATTAGCAATTACAAACACTAATATGATTATTATGCTTTCTAAAATTGTATAATCAAAGTTAATAAAAACAATTGAAAATAATCTCAATAATATATAACAAGGGTAAAAATATTTAAGCATTTTATACGAAATTTATTTAGAAACAATTTCTTCAATAATATGTTAATTAGTTATTATGAACAATGTATTTGTATGATTAGAAAAAGGATTAAAATGTTAATAAAAGAGTAGATTAACTTCAGTGTATATGATAGTATCAATAAGGATAAGTAATAACATTAATAATTATTTACTTGAATCTAATTTTTTTCTTAATTGTATTAACAATCCTGATTTCATGAGTATCGATGCAGAAGATAATCCTATGATTGTAATGTAATGATCCCTTTAAAAAATGATGCATAATATTATCCACCATATACATTAGATTCCTTCTAAAACTAAAATTATGTTCGTATTCATTATTAATATTAAAATTTTCTAGCAACAATTATTCTGAATTATCTTTAATTTGAAAATTACTGAACAAACGAAAATAAGAGCATTTAGAAACACAAAGTATAATATAATAAAATAAAAAGATCAATTAAAATTCCTTTTAATTTAAAAGAGTGTCCTTAATACTATTTCCAATTCGTCCTACTTTACAGGTTTTGGAAGAAATGTGGAGATCCCTACTTTTTATCCTTCAATGAGATTTTACTAAGTATCATAAGCTGAACAAATTACTATCATTGATTATTATTATGTCAATTCATTAATCTATAATATATATATATAATTAATATAATACTTATTTACTAGTTTAAAAACCATCAATACCTGGCATTTCAATATCCATAAATATTAATTTATAAATAGAACAATGTTCTTATAATTTAGTTTTAACTTTATCAATTGCTTATAATCCATCAAATGCTTAATCTGCTTCTATTTAATAATGTTTAAGCATTAATTTAAGTGCTATTTAATTAAATGGAATATCATCAACAATTAAAACATGAACACATTTATCACATAATGATATACTTTTTTGTATTGTATCTACATGTAATAAGTTTTTACATGAAGAAATGAATTTATGAGAGAAATATTCAGGACTTATAGGTAAAGATATTTATGGTTATTTAAAATTATCATTTAATTAAGGTGTATTCAAAGAAGATTCTGATTCATAAATAAAATGATCTTAAAATTAGCTATCTTAATCTAATTTTGAATTCATTGATTTAATTAACATTCTATCATCAAATTTCTTTTCACTTAATGTATTTTAAATACCTGATTAATTAAATCTTCCTGTTAATTAAGATACTAAATTAGATTAATATTAATCATTTATTGTATTTAAGAAATTTTAAACTTAAAATGATACCTTTGTTCCTTAATTTTTAATTGAACTAATTAATAATTAATTATTATTCTATTCAACTAAACCTTCTACTAATTTAGCTGCTATATTTAAACTTAATCCTGCTTTTTAAGTAACTTATTGAGTTTTTAATCTTGCACCAAATTCCAAATTACCATTCAAACTATTTTAAATCAATGTTAATTTATCATCTTCTATTCCAATACCATTATCCTTAACTTATATTTTAAGATAAAATAATCTATTTTATTTAATAGTTAACTTAACCTTTCCTCCCTCTTTTGTATATTTGGCTGCATTATTTAATAAATTTACAAGAATCTAAAGTATTCTTTATTTATCATTACAAATAATTTAATCTCTTAAAAATTACTTTGCTTTAATACCAAATTTAATTTTTTTCTATCTCATTTATATTTTATAGAGATTCTCTATTTCTTAAATAATCTAATTTATAGTGAATCTTGAAATACGATAAGAGAAAGAAAAAGATTAAATAGCAGCATAATCAAGTATATCATTAATTTAATGAATCAATAAGGTAATTGAACACATTGCAATATCAATATATTCTTATACAGTCTTTTCAATTAATTAATGTTTAATTAGATTTAACATATGTTAACATGAATTAAGTGGAGTTCTCAATTCATGTGAAAATGATTTAATTAGACTATGATGAATAATTTATTCATCTTTCATCTATTAATATTTATGTTTGCTTGTAATATTCTTAATCATAATAAGTAGAACTGGAATTTCTGTATCATTATTAATTTATATATTCAATTTACTAGAACATTTATTTTATGAAGGAAGAGATATGTATTCTTATTATTAACCAGTCATTGAAGTTGGTATGATGATTAATTTCAGTTTCTTTTAATTAATTCTATTCTACAATTCAGATTCCATTAACCATTCATATATAAATATTTATTATTAAAATGTTAATTAATCTGTTTTTGAATCTTCTTAATTACATGCTTCTCCCTTCTAATCTAATATTCCATAATATTTTTAAGGATAAAGCATAATATCCAAAACATCTGCTCTTCTATTTTCTTTTTATAATTTTCTAACTATTCTTTAAAGTGTATATTAATTTATTTATCTATTTTATTTTGTGGTTTACAAAAAATTAGAAACTTCACTTTCATTATCTGACATTTTAGCATCATTAACACAAATCTTTATTTTCTCTAAAACTTAATCTCCTCCTTAACATTCTAATAATTTTTCACATTTATTATTCATATAACTGACTTATTAAAATTGATTTAATATTAAAATACCTTATGGAAATATATTTATTAGATTTTAATAAAATATGTGTAATTGTAAATCTGATTTTTCAGAAACTTTGTTATTCTTTTAAGATTTTGATAAATTTGTAAAATTAGATAATAAAACCAATTTTGAATCACTTTGTTAGTCTTTCATTAATATACTTTAACTTTTTAAAGGTGTTTGAATTAGTGATACTCTACTTAAGGATTTTATTAAAGATTATTATTGATTATTAGGTGATTCCTTCTCTTCCATTATTTTCAATTATAATTCTGGTATTTTAGCATTTATTTTTGTTTTAATTTAATCGTTATTATTGTTTACATGAATTCTCTCAATTAATTAATCTGTAGTTAACAAATATTATACTAAAACAACTATTATAATTAATAAGCTTTCTAAAGAATAATAACTAAAGGTAATGAATATTATAGATATAAGTCTTAAAATAATATAAAATGGAAGTCCTAATTTACATATCTGACTCCATTTTTAAACTGCAAATTTCAAATAAGAATTATATGTAACAATTATTAATAAACTACTAGAGAAGATGCCTAAAGAGTAATCAATTTTTAAGAGTAATAAAGTTTCAATATACATCACGTAATAAAAGAGAGATACTATATGCACAAATAAATACAAACCAAATTTTCTTGTGATCAAAATTTATTATAAAATCCTCATTGTGACACACCCTATTTGTAAATAAAATGCTATCTAATTTATTGGTTAGATTAAATATAAAGCCAATATCATCCACCATAAACTTTAGAGAATATTAGCAATCAATATTATATTCATTGCAAATAGTTTGAATAGTTATTTCATGTAGTAATACAAATGTGTTTATTTAATATACAAATTAAATTAGTTAGAAATTTAAGAAAGATTAGTTTTTGTTTTTAGCCAAAATATTTAATTTAAGATTCAAAATTTAAGAATAAGGAGATGAAAATGTTTATTTTGAGTAAGATAATAAAACAGTTGCATTGATAATTAATAATTATTAAGTAAAAAATACATATATTAATAAACTGTGTTCATATTTTGAATAAATACTTTTTTAAGATTTTATCTAATTCTTTTTTATTAACAGGTTTTGGTAAGAATTCAGTTATACCAACTTGCTAAGCAAAATTATAATTTTCAAGAGTATCATATGCAGAACACATAACAATTATAGATTAGACACCATTAATTTATGAGATCTAATTATAAACTTAGTTTTACAATTTTAGAGGTTTAAAAACCATTTTGACCTGGCATTTCAATGTCCATAAATATTAATCTATAAAATTTACAATGTTTTGTCAATTTCTATTTTACCATTTCAATAGCTTAGTACCCATCAAATGCAGATTCTGCTTTTATTTTAAAATGATTTAACATTTGAATAAATGCAATTTAATTAAATGGAATATCATCAACTATTAATATTTAAGAGCAATTCTCACAATTATTAGAATTTATGTAAAAAGATAATAATGAACCTTATTTCTTTTATGTTTAAGTAAGATTTGTTTTAAAATGATAAGAACTTGTAGGAATAATCACTGAATTTGATTAATCTTCATTAATTCTTGGACTTTCTAAATGCTCTTTTACAAAAGTTGATTCATTTTAGGGATTTTCAAATTTCTACTGTAATCCTTTCATTAAAGATTAAGATAATTCTGATCTTTGTATAAGTTGGGAAGAAGAAGCTGGAGATAATATTTCAAATCTTCCAGTAATATTACTTTATTATGGTGATAATAAACATTCTTAATTCATAATTTCTTAATTTTAAAATACAAAAGATACTTAAGTTCCATTGTTAATACTAGAATTAATATTTAAATATGTTTTATTATATGTTAATCCTTTAACAATTTTTCCAGATATTTTCAAACCAAATCCAAGACCAGAATCATAAGATATTTTAGAAGAAGGTTTACAAAAGGTTTTTCTAATTTATTCAAGTTTATTTGATTAAATTCCAATTCCATCATCTCGAACAGATACTTCAATTAAATTACCTTTCATTTATCTAAATGATAAATTTATTTCACCATTAGGTTTAGTAAATTTACATGAATTATTTAATAAGTTAACTAAGACTTGCATAATTCTTTGTTTGTCATTAATAAAAAATTGATTTAATAAAATTTGATCATATTTGATATCTAGTTTGATATTTTTATAACTTACTTGTTAATCATACAATTCATTGATCTCTTAAATGAGATCTTTAATACTAAATGTTGTTGTATGATAAGAAAAAGTCTTTGATTACATGGCAGCAAAATCTAAAATATCATTAATTTAATAAATTAATAATTTAATTGAACTTTATGCTGTATTTAAATATTAGTGTATAAGTTCATCTTTTGAAACTTCCTTAATTAAATTAAGCATATATTAACAACTATTTAAAGGAGTTCTTAATTCATGTGAAAAAGATTTCAAAAGTGAA